CGGCGGTCGAGATGAGATCAAAGCCTGGAAGCATGTTTGGAATGTCATTATGATACTTTTGACAGAGTCAGGTGCATGCATGTATGGTACCGATCAGTGTCCATTTGTAGTAGGTCCACGATTAAATGACCTCGCTTTCACTGGCTGCCTGCCGTAGCAACAAACACAATTGACAAATCTGTTTCGTTGAAGATCAGCCATAGAAAAAAAGACCCCATGCATGGCTGATTGTCAACGAAACGGTGTTAAGCCTTTTGTCAATTATGTTTGTTGGTACGGCAGGCAGCCAGGGGAAAAGAGTTCGGTTAATGAAATTATGGAAATGCAAGCATTATTTTAAACAAACATAACTTTTGATTCCTAGCTCATTTTTCCTGATTGAGGTGTCATACTAAAGGGCATAAAATGAACATTATATAAATGTGATTTTATCTTTGAAATTCAGATACCGTCCACCTTATGACTTTTTGGTATCCTTTCTTCAAATTTATTTTGATCACTCATGCGTGAAACATGCATCATGCTAGTTGCATTAAATAAAAGAGGAGGATCTAAGCTTTACAAATATGTGTTATTTATTAATTGTGATTAAGTTATGATAAAAAATCGATAATTCTCGGTTTCGTTTTTTCTGGGACGCACTGTAAAAATATAAATCAGGAGATTGCTATACTGAATTAAACTTTTTTTTTTTACTTGATTTTCATTGAAGGCGTTAATCCTTGTCAATATGTGTCAAATATTTAACTTACAGAATTGATGCCAAAAACTTGAAAGCTCATTACGATGATTCGATGTAAAGTAACATTGTTTTAAAATTGAAATTTTTAAACTACATACTTTTTAATATCATGATTGATGAGAAAACTCTGAGTTTTCACTGTGATTCAAACTGATTTTGGAAATTAAATTCCACAAATTATGTTTAATACTGATATTTAACATTCTGAATTGATGCCAAAAACTTGAATGATGATGCGATGTAAAGTAACATTGTTAACTTACATACTTGTTAATATCATGTATGATGAGAGAACTCCGAGTTTTCACTGTGGTTCAAACTGATTTTGGAAATTAAAGTCCACAAATTATGTTATTGGTATTTAACACATAAAATTGATGCCAAAAATTTGAATGATGTGGCGATATAAAGTAACATTTTTTAATTGAAATTTTTAAACTACATACTTTTGGTATGGTATGGTATGGTATTTTTTATTGAATCATGCATCGCAGTTACATATTACTGAATTGCACATTGATATAAGTTGCCATCCAAAAACGAGAGTACCATTTAGAACAGTATCGTTTACATAATTATAAGTACACGTATTATGTCACATGTTTATCCTAAATTTTGTATATACCAAATGTAAAACAAAAGAAAAAATACGAAGGAAAAGGAGAATATCTACCTCAACAAATTATGAATTCAAAGTGAGGAAGAGACAAAGAAAAGATGTAGACAAAAGAGGTTTTTAATATCATGTGTGTTTACACTGTGATTCAAACTGATTTGGGAAATTAAAGTCCACAAATTATGTTACTGAATTTAAAAATGTCGTTGACTTTACGTTATTTGCATAGTGTGTGAGTGAAGAACTTCAAATCAATGCTAAATTTAGAAATCAGGCAAAATTATGGTTTATATTCTCTATTGACAAATAATGGTTACTTAATAGCTGTTAAAAAAAAGAACAATATTAATCAGCGGTTTAGTTAAACCCTTAGTCAAAAAGTTAAAACACTAGTTGAATCCACCTTTGTTGTAATCAGTATTGAGTAAAAACATGTACTTAACTTAGTACATGTTTTTACTCAATATTGATTGAGCAACTAAGCGTTAACCAGATAACATCATACTTAATATTTGAGCAAAAAATTGCTCAAACAATTTGAGTCAAAACATGTACTCGTTAATTGAGTAAAATTTGGCTCAAATCATGAGCAGTTTCTTACTCGACATGAGTTGATTACGTTTCTACCCAGTACTGAGTAAAAAAGGGAACCGCTCAACAAAGGAGTAAATATTGAGTAAAGGTTGACTCATTCAAACTGAGTAGAGATTTAGTCTTTCATTGAGTAATATTTTTACTCAACAGATGAGTAGATTTGTTACTCAACACATGCTGAGTAAAGTTTACTCAAAAGTCGGGTGGTTCCCTTTTGACTACTCAAAAGAGTAACATTTTTACTCAAATTGAGCAGTTTTTTTTTAGAGTGTACTGTTCTCGACTCTTAATCCTAATTTGTGTCAATGAGGTTTCCCCCTCCCGCGCAAAGCGCGGGAGTGTTGACGTTTCATTAAATTATTAGAAAAAGAAGACGATTCGTTGAACCGTTTTCGGTTCTTAATAAGCCCTATTTATCTGGATTCAATTTCCCCCTCTCGCGCGAAGCGCGGAAGCTTTGAAATTTTCTTAAATTATTAGAGAAAGCAGACGATTCGTTGTACCGTTTTTGACTCTTAATAAGCCCTATTTATCTGAATTCAATTTCTCCTCTCGCGCGAAGCGCGGAAGCTTTGAAATTTTCTTAAATTATTAGAGAAAGCAGACGATTCGTTGTACCGTTTTTGACTCTTAATAAGCCCTATTTATCTGAATTCAATTTCTCCTCTCGCGCGAAGCGCGGAAGCTTAGACATTTCCTTAAATTATTAGAAAAAGTAGACGATTCATTGTACCGTTTTCGACTCTTAATAAGCCCTTTTTATCTGAATTCAATTTCCTCCCTCGCGCGAAGCGCGGAAGCTTTGACGTTTTCTTAAATTATTAGAGAAAGCAGACGATTCGTTGTACCATTCGCGACACTTAATCCTTGTCTGAATTCAGTTCTCCCCCTCTCGCGCGAAGCGCGGAAGCTTAGACGTTTCTTTAAATTATTAGAGAAAGAAGACGATTCATTGTACACTTTTCGACTCTTAATAAACCCTATTTATCTGAATTCAATTTCCCCCTATCGCGCGAAGCGCGGAAGCTTTGACGTTTCATTAAATCATGAGATAAAGCAAGCAAACGATTCGTTGTACTGTTCTCGACTCTTAATCCTTGTCTGAATTCAGTTTCCCCCCTCTCGCGCGAAGCGCGGAAGCTTACGTCTGGGCTATAATAATTCTTTGCAAAATGACGAAAAATTATGCTGAAGTTTATGAAGTGCTTATTCGCGCACGTCGCGCAACTATACGTGTAGGCTATACAGTTATACATACATAAAAAATAACTAATTTCTCATGCATTATGCTGAAATTGAAACAATCCCTTTTTTTCTTCTTCTTCCTTTTTTTTGGTAATCTCAAGGGGGATATTTGTACAGGCCATCCCCCCTCCTTCAAGCGAGGGGGGGGGGGGGGATGCATGTATGTTTGGACGCTTTGTTATGGTTATTGTATAATTTTATTAGACATGATTTGCTATGTTGTTAAATGATGCCTTTATTTCATATAAAAGGAATACAATTGTACCATCAAGACCAGGTCCATGTTGTCTTTCCGAAACCATGGCAGGTCACACTACATATAAAATAAGTACAAAGAATGATGCATTACAATTACAAATATATATCAATCATGCATAATTACAATTATATATTACTCATGTAGGCCTATACCAGTTACAATTAAACATTAATCATTGATCAATATACATTACAATCATATATCAATCATGTATAGTAACAATTGTTAATCATGCATAGTTTGGCAACAAAAAATTAAATAAAAAAAAGACAGATTAAGGGGATTATGATTTTCTGAGCATGTGGGAGTAAGAAACGGTGTAAGAAAGTGTGAAAGGGATGAAAAAGTAGAGGGTACATTATAGGTTGGTGATAAAGTGTAAACGAGTGTAAGCAAGTCATTCCACTTGGAATAGAAGGGTGGAAGAAAAGGAGAAAGTAGGAGGGGGTAATTAAGAGAGAAGAGGGGAGAAAGAACAAGCAGGGGAGGAGGATGGAGAGGTAGACGAGGAGGAAAATAAGAAGACGAAATAAGGCTAAGAAGAAGAGGGAGAGGAAGAAGAAGAGAAGAAATGTTGAGGAGAATGGAGTGCTAATTAAAGGTCAAGGTATTTCACATCCCTCCACTGTGATTATTTTCTTGCATTAAATATGACAAAGGATGACAAAACTGCGTCCCTATATACTTATTTTCTGAAGGGACTGAACATTTCCTGAGTACCCACTTCCTGAGTACCCACTTCAGGCCGCCCCCCCCCCTCCCTTAGGAAAAAATGTGTATTTTTACATTTTTTAATGTTAATCATATCGCTCCGTTTAGTCTCATTTCACAACGCCCCCTATCGTCAGAGTCAGCAGCCATACATGTTAGCCTATGGAATTGTACCAACAACAAAAAATCGTTAAAAATTCATTTTTTGTTTAAACGAAAAGCACATCCACCGACGTACGTTATCACTAGCTCTTTCATTGGAACCCTCATGTCCCATTGACTTTTAAAAGTTCACCCACCGTAATTTGATCAAAATAGGTTGCAAGCTCGTCATTGCCTATAATATACATGCGAAACAAGTCGAACTTTGGACTCAGTTTGCCAAGCGATTTTAAGATTATAGGTCAAGCACACGAAGGATAAGAAGCATGAATTATCATAAATCACTTCTGCTTGGTTCATTATGTCCATTTCATCCAACCCCCACCGTCATTTTTTCCATTTAGTAAAAGCAAACATTTTGCTGAGGTAAGCAAAAACATGAATATTCATGACACACCATGGACTATTCGGTTATGAACAGAGGGGTGCAATCGGTCATCACGTCAAACTCCCCTAATTGCCACCAAGTATTTCATTTCATTATATAGTTTGGTATGTTTCTTTTACTCACTCATGAATTATTAAATAGCAATGATTGTTTAAAGATATGTAAAAGAAATTTTAGTTGATATTTATTAACAAAGTAATTTATATTTAGCAAAGCAATCTCACATACAAAATTACTATCAAGTGTCGTCTGCTACGCCGATTGTCGCCTGCTTCGTTTAAAGACCTTGACCGGAGCAGAAAATTATATAGACAAATTACATACCTACGGACTCGTGAATATTTACTGAATATGAAAATGCAAACTTCTCGAGATTCCACGGCCTCTGAAAGAAGTATTTATCATCCGAAACCCCGGATTCACGGATTTGAGAGGGGCACCCCGGAGATTTAGTTTCGGCTGCGCTAGCCGGTGGCCGTTTCTACCCGTTTCTGATGACGTCATATCGTGTAGGTTATTTGGCCACTCGGTATAGCAGCTAGTTCTTCGCATGGTGGTCGGTATGTGAAGTTTTCTTCTCTCTTGTTTTGTTGTTGTAAATATCAATGTCGAAGCTGTATTTGGACATTTTACGATTAGAATGTTGACATTTTATATCTGTATTAATTTCACGCTACGTAATATGGAATATCAACCCCAAATTTCCACTAAATTAGATTGAAACGAATCATTTGCCCGCGCTGCTGGCTGCCTGCCTCGGTCTGCGATTGCACAACTTTCAGCAATCTATCGCTGAGCCTCGCGAGAGCACTCGGGCCGCGGCCGGCCCGTCCTGACTTGCCGCGCCGTGTCATGCTGGTGGTCGTGGAATATTTCTCGAACAAAACTAAGTTTCGCTCGCTTTTATCGCACAGATAGCCTTTCCTTTTGCATGGTTTACCAGCATTAAATCAAAGAATTATTTAGATCTACATTGTTTTATTGTCTAGAATATAGTCTGTAAACAATGAAAAATAAGAGGAAGATGAAATGGAGATTTTGAAGAAGAATTGGGCCTAAAAAAAAAAGAAAAAGAAAACTAGGTAGAGGTCTAGTTGGTAGAATCTAGGCCTTGGACTCGTGCCGCCCAGTGGCAGTGCACTGCAGTACAGTGAAGCCAGGAACTAAATTATTTTGAATTGATGTCAGAAATCACATGGGTGCCTCTTCTTGATACTTTCTCGTGATGAAAACACTGTTTTTATTCAAATCAAAATGGTCTAGATCTAGTGTTGTTGCCAGGGATGATTATTAACACAAAATCATCGGTCATTTGTTGTTGACTTTGCTTCTTTTTTTTTTATCCGACTACAGATTAACTTTGCTTTTTTTTTCTTCTATGAAACTAAGTTTAACTAACTTTTGTCTAACTTTAATAGCAATGTTAATGTTATAGATCATTTATTATTTTGCCATTTTATCTTGATCTTGCTTATTGTCTCTGCCACATCTCTCTTCTGAAAGTCTTATATAATGGTTAAATTTGACAGTTTTATTTTGTCAAGGCAGCTTTGAAAAGAAGATCTTACAATTAGAGATGAGTTTTTAAATCATTGCAATATTTCATTGCTAATTCTAAATGGGAAGACCACAAGTCTATTGCCAAAAATTTTAAATTTGTGTACAAGTTCTATAAATCATGAGGTTATTTTTGTCAAAATTTCAAACATATTTTGTGAAAAATGAAACCTGAAAATGATAAATTTTGCATTACAAAACAAAAGTTGATAAAGAATAAGGAATCACAGGATTCGCACTAATTTTTATCTTGCCCGACTTTATAAGTCTAGATGTAAATGTACATGTAGATCTTTGACATATTTATATTCATTTTAATCTTCTATCAATTGTAATATTGGTGTATTGTTTTCTTTTTATAGATTGCAGTTATCAGCATGTCAAAACGGAGTAACACAGATGAGGAAGGTGAGCCCAGCAAGAAGCCGAAGCCTGTTGGGGGAAACCGGTGTGTCTTGTATGGGTGCAGCAACACTATTCATGATGGCTTTGCCATACATGAACTACCGAAGGAAGGATCCATCAGGCGAGCATGGGTGAAGTTCATTCAACTGAAGTTAAAAGGGTTCGATGCCCGAGAAAGGGTCCATGTCCACGTCTGCAGTGGTCATTTTGAGCGAGACCAGTATGATTCGTCTCAAGTCTTGAAGTTTAAGTATGGCTTCAGGAAAATTACGCCGCGCCTTCTACCAAATGCCATTCCCCGTCGGCAGCAGGCTGTTCAACCCTTTACAGATCATTGGTTCCTCAAACCAACAACGACAACATCATCAACGTCAACAATGTCATCAACAATGATTTCACCAACAGTGTCATCACCAATGATTTCATCACCAACAACGTCAACACCAATAACGTCTACGCTAACAGTAACAACGTGCTTGAGCTCGACTAGAACCAGAACTGTCCATTCTACAAAGATAGCAGTGTCCTCTCTAGACAGCCAGAAGAAACGTGTGGGTAAACAAGGAGGCCATGCCCATAATCAACCAATTACTTTTGCCGATGCAAGCACGTGTACATCACCAACAATGCCAACTACCAGTGGAAACAGACGTCGAGTGTCTGTGCTCAGTCTGAAGAAGGTATGTGTAACACAGATGTATACCATTATGCCTACATGTACATGCGCAATATTATTTTTTTTGTCTTGTCATATGTTTTAAATTATAAATATCGATTTCATTGCAACTTTTGGCTTCATTTTACTCCAATAGCTCTCCTTTATTGGATAAGCAGTTTCAGCACTTCTCTTATTTTCCAATATCAAAAATCAATTCACTTCACAAACAGATTTTGTATAATTGGCTTATCCAAATGTTCCAGTTTGAATATCCGGTACTATTACTCAAACATGAAAATTGATACCGAATTTAATACTCATTATGCACTTCATAAGAACTACAAATTATAGTTCCCAAAACATCCTTTAGCACCTTTCAAACAGAGCCATCCACCCAATGAAAACAAAAATTGCATTAAAAATATTATGACTTACTATTATTCTTCCATGATTGCAGGAGGTTCAAAGGATAACTGAGGAATACGCTCGTAAGGAAGAGGAAGAAGCAGCACAACAAGCAGCAGAAGAAGCAGCTAGGAGGGACCGAGAAAACAATAAAGCTATCCAGGCATCTCCCACGGTGAGTAAATAACCTAATATCATGTCGCAAATATTGTGCAAAAAACAAGAACAACAAGTTGTGGCAACATTTTCTGTACCTGTAAAGATCAGTAGAATACAATGTATTTGAGGCAAATTAAATAAAAAATGATGTTGAACCAGCACCAAAATATTGTTGATCAGTCTTATTTGGGAGAAATTTCTTTGCTGTCAGAATCCCATGCTATTGCTCACAAGAATTTCATTGCATTGCAGTGTCAGTGGGACATATGAGGTTTTGTCAAGTATAAATGAGGTCTATTGAAAGTGTTTATGATGTATCAGACTTCTAATTCTCAATTCATCGTTAGACAAGTTGCTTGTCTGACATACACGCAGTAACCAACTGCTGTCAACATTTGTGACTATTCACATAGTTCTCAGCTGACCCACATGATATGTTTTTAAAACTTTTTTTAAGCTTACTTTATTTTTAATTTGCTTTCATTCTTTGTGATTTTTATCACAAATGCAAATTCATTCCTCAGATGATTGATAAGCAGTTTCAAAAAAGACCTAAAACTCGAACCTGTGGAATACAAGTTAAACCTGTGAAGCCTGTCAAACCTGTCAAGCCTGTCAAGCCTTTACAAAAAGAGAAAGGTGAGTGAAGTACAGTATGATATGTGTATTTACAATATTTGTGTTATAACATAATGTATTTATAGATTGCGGAACAAAAAAGGAGAAAAATGTAACTAATGTACCTTGTATTCTCTTTCATGAATTATGTCACATTATCGAAATTGATCAAATGAATAAATGTTAATTTAAAATTTACTATGATTGGGTATTTCTGCACTCGTGCCACGACGGAAGACCACAAGTCTATTGCCAAAATGTTAAATTTGTGCACAAGATCTATAAATCATGAGGTTATTTTTGTCAAAATTTCAAACATATTTTGTGAAAAATGAAACCTGAAAATTATAAGTTTTGCATTATAAAGCAAAAGTTGATAAAGAATAAGGAATCACAGGAGAGAAGGTTCCTACATCAAGTGTGCCCTAATAGGTCCTAAGTTCCTTTGGGTCCCCCAAAATAGAATAGGCAAAATCTATATAGATCTGTGGTTTAGATCCCCTAACAAAATATGGCAAGAACCCTAATTTTCAAATCTTGTATCAATATGTTGTTTTTCTTGAAAAAGGAGTACAGATTACACTTTCTTCTAGCTTGGAGAAGGCAGAGAGACAAGTTTCGATGAGGACATCAGCAACCCAAACTGAGGACACTGGTGCAGAACAGGAGACTTTTGATGAGCCAGAAGATGAACATGAAGAACCTGAAGAACCCGATGACAAGCGGAAAGATCCAGATTATGAACCCGAAAATGAATTGGAGGATGAAGCTAATGAAGAAGTTGAGAACATGTAAGTATTGATCCATTATTTTTATAAGATGATATTTATCAAGTACATATATCTGGAAATTACTCTTTAATTTTTTATGTTAACATCTTTGATTGATGGAAATAAATGAAGATTAACCATTAAGCCTCATATTTTTGGAAGTTAATTTGCACACTTTCAAAGTAGCAAGGGCTGTTCGTTATATACATTTAGGGATGTATGTAGCTTTTACCCATTTCTATTATGAAAATAGTAGTGAAACTTACAATGTATGTGGATGTCTTGTTTGTTTCATACAGGAAAATACCATCCGATATAATTGATCAGCCCAAGTATATTGTTTTTGAGGATCAGCTTTTGGAGCTCTTCAAAAAATGCAGGCATTGCCACCTCCCCTGCTCTTCAGTAGTTCATCACCCACCGACATTTGGCAGTAGAGTCAAAGTGATCTCCACATGTGACGAATGTGACGGGAAATTTGAATGGTCATCCCAGCCATCAGTGGGAAATTTGTATGCTGGCAACATACTTTTGTCATCTGCAATTTTATTTGCCGGTGCGAGCCCAACAAAGGTTCTCAAAACTCACAAACACATGAACTTAATATCAATTTCGACAACAACATTCAACGAACACCAGTCTAGATATCTTCAGCCAGCAATAGTGAAAGAATACAGGAGGACCCAGGCAGAGACATTTGACGAGATCAGAGCGAGTGAAGCGGGCCTCATCCTTGGAGGGGATGGGAGGAGTGACTCACCTGGGCATTCTGCCAAGTACGGCTCGTACACGATGATGGACCTGAAGAGCAACAAGGTCATTGATGTCCAGCTTGTGCAAGTGAGTGATTTAGCAGAAATGTTTTAATGTATGTAGTGTAAAGGTTAAAACCACAGAGGTCATCATATGCCTGAAATTGGACATATCGTGTAGTAACTACGTACATAATAGAAAAGTTTTTGCCATGCATATTGTGATCATTACTCATTTAGGTTTCCTTTTTCTTTATTATAAGTTAAATTTTGCAGACGTAATTATATGGAATCCGCCTGTCACTAACTCCAGTGTGTTTTTTAACAGATCTGTTGCAACCATGAATGTATACTTCCTTTATTATACTGTATTACAGAGAACCTTGTACTTTTCTAAGGTTATTTACCATTATTTTATTCTTTTCCTTTATAGTGTACAGAGGTTAAGAACTCAAATGCAATGGAGCTAGAGGGACTCCGGAGGGGCCTGCGGATACTTGACGATGCTGGTGTGATTGTACAAGGCATAGTGACAGATCGTCACATGCAGATAGCGAAGTTTCTCCGTGAGACGTACCAACAAATTGATCACCGATATGATGTCTGGCACATTGCGAAAGGTAATTATTATATATATACTGAATTAATTCCAGCAAATGTATCTTATATACATGTTGGCTGAAATTGATATTGTAGTTATGACTACTTTTGCAGGTTTAAATTTGCCTATATTTCCACTTTTGTGTATAGTAATTATTGAATTATGATATATTTTCTAAATTTAGAACACTCCAAGTAGCTCCTTGATATGTCACATATTGAATTGTCAATTGATCTCTTTTAGCTAATTCTTGCTCCTTTTTTTTTGTTTCTGCCTGTATATAATAGGGTTAAAGAAGAAGCTAAAAGCATTGGCCAAGATGAAGGACTGTGGATTGGTTCAAGATTGGTTGAGGGCCTTGGTAAACCATGTATACTGGACTGCCTCTTCTACTCCGGATGGAGATAAGGATGTCATGAAAGCCAAGTATAAGAGGGCTATGAACCACATCAGAAATCTTCACACAGATGAAAACCCAGAGTACACTGCTTGTGAACATGGTGATGACTATCCAGAGCGAGAATGGTTGCAGTCAGGTAAGCTACTTATGTATGATCTTTAAATAACAATTTACTTCAGTGGAAATAAAACAGTTAACCCTTCACTGGTGCCTCAAGTTGTTCTTTTTGTTTGGATGTGGGTGAAATCCTTATTTATATGCATACGGTGTACATTTTTCACCCTCATTTACTTTGAAGATGTTTGTCAAAATGCGAGCAAAATATTTACATTTATTTTAATAATGTACATTCAAGTTTAATTTAGTTCAATTTTGATCATGACATTCATATTTTTTTTTTTGCAATTTTCTAAATGATTAATATTCATTGTGGAATGAAAAAATAGTTTTGGCGAAGGGATGAGATGCTTGGAAATGCCGAGATCATGATTGCTAACTATTTAAATGAACTCTCCTTCACCTTTACCGCATATATTATATTCCCAATCTTATTACAGGTACAAAGGTGTACGACAAGCTTCGAGAGGAATGGCTGAGGACCAGACTGGTGAACGGCATTGGGATGATGTCCCCACATGCCCAAACCAGCAAGGTTGAATCATTCCACAACATCCTCCTTCACTTTTGCCCCAAGTTGCTTGTATAGTCATATCAAGGGATGAAGTGCAGGTAAATTAGGCAATTAATTCATCAACATTATGCTCCCCTAATATAAATTTAACAAGAACGTCACAGAGGGCAGTGTTGTTTCTTCTTCTTCTTCTTTTGAATTTGATTTTATTGGTTTTATGTTTTAAAGTTATTATTTTCTTTTTGTTATAGCCAGGTTCTTTCTATTTCATATTTTGTTGGTTTTTTTAATTTTTTATTTATTATTTGTAACACATGCTTTTTACACTAACTCTTGCCTTCACTTATTGGAGAGTAGGTAACGAGTTTATGATGATAGACATTACATTACCAAAAAGATAAAATCAACTGTCACAAGTATGTTATTCATGTGACCTTTATTTTTAACTTCACTCTTTTCAGATTATATTTGGCTGTCCTACATTGGAACGAAAATTGTGATAGAGCCCAGGCTGTTGATGCCGAAGGGAACCCAGTGTACAGGTTGAAGTATCCACGCTCGAAGGAAGGAGGCCACACAGTGGAGAGAGTGCTGACAGCTGGCACATGTGGTAAGTAGCCACATGTCTAGTGAATGATATCAATATTCAACAAAAGAGCTCAATTATATATAGAAATCTTTTATTACTTCATGATCAATAGAATTCAAATTAGTAGATTCTTGTGGCCTATATGCCCTTAATTTAATCTGTTGATTAAATTGATAATTATAAACATGTATTGGGTTACTTTCTGCAAATGTGTAATATTGAATAGCAAGCAGAAACAGGCATATATGTCAGTCCCCAAGTCAGTGAACTACCTATTCAGCAAAGAACATGTGCATGCCATTGGTATTTGATTGGTCATCCACCTACAAATAGTGTGTAAAATTAGGTAATTCAATACTTGTGAGAAAAAGAGTTTTCTCTTCTTATGTTCTTATTTTTCTCTTTTCCTTTTTTCCTCTTATCAAAGTGTATTTTTTTAACACCGTATAGATGAATTTTCAAGGTATAGTTTTGGATTTTATCTTGTAGGTTATGTGAAAGCCCTGATGAGAGTTGTCGTAGAACTGGTGGAAAACAGGGAGCAGCTCAGAGACAACATGGAGGAGCTACAGCCTCAACCAGCACGGAGTGCCTCTCATCATCACCCCGACAATGGAGAAGCCGTGCAAGCTTTTGAACAACATCATCGCTTTGGCGATAGAAACTAGTTCTTTTGGTGATAGAAACTATGATGAATGTGTCAGCTACCTGAACATTAACCACTGATTGTTTTATTTCAGTACAATACATGTTTTTCATAGACCCTAAATTATGTTTATGCCAGTATAATTATGGAGAGTAACATGGAAGTACTCTATGCAAGTGAGTAGTGGATTCCGATTCTATGTGAGTGTAAAGCACTAGAAACTTGTCTGTAAGCTTGTACATACTTACACAAGCCAAAGTCCATGGTACACATCAATAGTCATTGGTTTTAATAGGTAAAATACTTATTAAATTTGTAAAACTTACATTTTTAGTTCAATTTCTGAAGCATATGCACTAGATTTCCATAAACACTAAGTAAATCACTGTTGATCATGAATTTGGCACCAAATATAATCTGATTTTTCTCACAGTCCTTCATCTTGGCCAATGCTTTTTGCTTCTTATTTGCAAAAAATAAAAAATAAAAAAATGCATTTTTTTTCTTCATCTAAACTGTTCTTATTCAAGAACCATTTGATGTATTGCACCAGATATGACTTTATTTTTTGTTTTTGATTTTTTTCCCTTTTCTGCCGAGGTGAATTGTGTTATTCATTTTCAAAGTTAGTAGTTTTAAAGATCATGCCATATTATCACAGAAGAGGAAACATTGTGATGATACTTCATCGCATCCATACTTTTTTTCCTAACAGCGGTTTCCTGTTTGTCCTAAAACCTGGTTATAAAAGATTGAAAAATAATCATCCTTGCAGATATAATAAAAATAGTCATCTATCCTGTAAACTTTACATAAAATAAGGATGAATGTAATGTACATGTTGCATCAAAGTTTTTGTTCCAATGGTGCATCATTTTGAAATATATTGCACAAACAGAGAAGAAAATGATTGGGGGGAAAAACCGTCAATGGGATGTTCTGAGAATATTTTGAGCAAAGGTAAACAAAAATTCATCTAAAGGAACACAAATCTTGTTTGTTTATTTCTATTATAGGTGTCTTGTAGGAAGCTTCATAATTTAAAGATGGAAATTGCTGTGAAAATGAGAGTGAGATAGAGAATGTGAAGGAAGAAGAGGGGTAAAGATAGATACCAATAGGGATAGAGTGAGAGATGTGAATGTGATGGATGGAAGAGGAGAAAGAGAGATTGTGAAAGAGTGAGAGATGGGAATGTGATGGATGGAAGAGGAGAAAGAGAGATTGTGAGAGATGGGAATGTGGAGGGTGGAGGAGGAAAAGAGAGGCAGAGCTAGGGAGAGAGTGAGAGATGGGAATGTGGAGGAAGAGGAGGAGGGACAGAGTGAGAGATGGGAATGTGGAGGGTGGAAGAGGAGAAGGAGGGACAGAGTGAGAGATAGGAATGTGGAGGAGCAGAAAGAGAGGAGGGACAGAGTGAGAGATGGAAATATGGAAGAGGAAACAGAGAGAGGAAGTGGGATAGAGAGATGGGAATGTGGAGGGTGGAAGAGGAGAAAGAGAGAGGAAGAGGGACAGAGTGGGAGATAGGGTTAAGGTTTATCCTTTTTGGGAGGATAGATTTGATGCAAAATAAAGGATTTCCTGGATTTATTACGATGCTTACCATTTATCACACATTTGAAATTTCGTCAACCGCAATTCCCTTCTCTTACTCTCATTATTCCTCTAGCTGTCTATCTTTGTTGTGTCCATGCTGTTATTTCTCTTTCTCTCAATTTCGTTTTCTCTTTCAATTTCATTTTCTCTTTCTCTCCCCTTTTCTGACTCGGCAGGTTGACTGTATATGAAATGCTCAAATTATTAAAACAAATTACATTGCAGGGTGTATAACAAAAGAGAAGGAACAAGGCATGTTGTGTTTTTTTGTTGTTTTTTTTGTTGCTTGTTTATATAGATTTCAACATTCTTCCTCATAAGAAATCGTTGCTTGATCACAGTTTTGCAAAAGTTCGAATATCAGCTCTTGGAAATTAGAATCAAATGTCGAGATCAAAGTTCATAGCAACCATACCATCATGAGAAGTTCAAACAATAGTATTTGTGATGAATATGAAGATGAAAGCCGATGATCACAAATAACGTACAGAAGATGGCTGACAATCACATAGAAGATGACAGTCATTCAAAGTTCGCAAGACAATAGTTGATTTTACATCCTCATCTCAACCGACGCAGGATGGTCCCTTTGTACTGACCACGTCCATCAGGATACGCTTCCATTATTGAGGCATGGACACATGCTGGCAGTTGCACCCTGATGTCCTTCCCGAGCCAGCCCCAACACCATCTCACGACTTTCCTGTATGCCACATACCTGTATTTTCTGTAAAATAAAAAGCAATAAAAAAAATTTCATTATTTTTCTTAGGATAGATGATTTGATGTCAAAATATTAATTCTTTATTAATTAATTCAGGAAAATAAAAATGATTAAAAAAAACTAAAATGACCAAGGGTTAGTCATTGTTTGTCGGGCGGTGGGGGGCAACATTCAAAATCGCATATAAAGTTTGTGTTTCATAACTACAGATTATTGGGGGGGGGGGGGGGTAACATGCTAAAACTCACAAATCGGTGGTCATTCTTGCCTATTTGTATACATTTCCTGAAAAAGTGCCCCGAAGCACCTGCAGATAAGGCAGCTAGTACACCAGTGGTCACCAGGCAAGAATTTTGGTCAAAACTAGTAATTCATCTTGCGGTGACTCAATTCGTTTTGAAAAGTTTCACCCAATAAACTTTCAAAATCAATCCATTAATTTTTTTGCCCTTGCCAAAATGATGAAAAGGAGAAACATAACTTACTCATTGTTCCTGTCCCCAAATGCTTTGGCTGCTCGGCGCCACCTATCTGTGTACTCCATCCATCCGATGTATAATGTTGTCGCATTTAGGATGGCCGGCTCAAACTCCTCAGAATCCACCAGACAACTTGAACCCTGTCGATCAGCCTCTGCCTTGACCTCTGCAATTTCCTGACAACAGACACAATCACCTTCATTGAAAGATGGAGGCACACGACATCTTCCACATGTACACCTTGAAATACAGAAAGATTCAAACAAAAATCAATACACCTACTATAATTTTATAAATATTTTATTACAGCTTCCTGATAAATATAAAAATGACATCGTTCTCGTAGTCGTAGTATGGTAAGAGTGCCCAAGGCAGTGCCTATGTCTGCGCACCCACGTAAATGCGCGATATTTATAGAACAAAACATCAAACTGACACCAATTTTCAATCTTAACCTCAACAATTCATTTAGATACCAAAATTTGTGAAAATAATTGGGAAGATTAAAAATGAGTTTTAGCAAGTTTCATTTGCCACCCTGAAAATTTCAATCATTGTCAAAAAAGAAAAGTCTGAACAGGGGGTTGTCCCTGGTATGAAACTTCACTGTGCTTGATTGAATTGCGTGCAAAATAGTGAGTGCGCAGACATGGGCACTTTTCAGTTTTGCTACACAAAATGACGAGCCCGTCTGAAATTCGTTAAAAAAAATTGTTCTTGTGAATAATTTGTCGAGTTTTTTGTGTTTCAGTAATCATTAGAATATGAAGAACGGAATAACAATGATGATTCTAAAAATAATATCTTACTGTGTAATGAAATCGAGGTCGAATTTTAGGTGCGCAGACATAGATCTAGAGAATCATTCTAACAAGTTAACTTTAGAATTAGACATGCCATTTATGACCGAGTCTAGAGATCTACGGTATTTGATTTCAATTTTTGGGGGGAATAAATATTTAGAATGCACAACAAATTCAATAAGCTTATAAGTCTTAATTACCAATCCTCGACATTTTCATGAAGCCGATTTGCGTTGTTGGCCCTTCCAGCATCGCCAACATTTTGCCCAGGTTCACCACGAGGTAAAGGCTCATACTCCCACTCGACGATACGCCCGTGTTCTCCGGCGTCTGCATCACTTGCATCGCTGTCGGTATCACTGCTGCTGCCACTGTCCGGACTGTCACTACTACCACTGACACTGTCATTTTCACCGCTTTCCCCGCAACTGCCATCCTCCTCACACTCAAATTCCATAACTAAATCATCTTGTGCATCTGCCCTGACGACTGGGGTAGCCATTCTCTTTAGAAAGACTTCTCAAAACTTCTCAAACTTCAATCGATAAAAAGCAGACAGGATTCACGGTACGCAAAATCAATGTAGATCTCGAACATCGCGCGGCGAAGAATTATAGCAAACAATTCGAGTCTACACGGAATGACGTCACCCAAGTCCGTGCGGCGCGGGGGCTCTTGACCGAGGCGAATTTGGGAGGGGGCGGCAGTTGTACTGTAATTTTCATTTTTCTCAGTAATGAAAGGGTATTTAATTTTTTCTTTCTTGTATTTGCATTTTGTGTTTCATTAGCCGTCTGTGGATGTATGGTTGTGTACGCTCCGGTCAAGGTCTTTAAGGCACATATCTATCGTTTTTACTGTAAGGTATACCAGGGAGATTTGTATTTAGACAGGTGAAAGTTATTGTATTGAGAAGGAAAGGAATGTTCAGAAAGGCATAATAAGAAAGGAAAATGGGCGTGGTAGCCATTCTAGCTTTGTCAGACACTAAATACACGACACAAATTTCAAGTGCAGAAGAATGTATAATTCACGCCATTGCGCGCGAACACATCACACCCAGTGGCATACACCCGGTACCCTGCAATACAGTGGAACATTCTAAGAAATTGAAAATTTATCTACAAAATAGACCTCTTGAATCATCTGAGAAGTAATTTAACCTATTCTGATGACTTCAATGAATGTCAAGATAACAATGGCTGCGTTTCCATCCAAAAATAAAACTCGATTGCAATTAGAAATAGTCCATTTCTCGATAATTTCACAAAATATATTTGCCGCCGCATTCAATATGACGTCATTGACAGCTGATTGGCTAGTTTGGTAGTGACGTCGACCGAGCTGTTTGTGCTGCAGTGATCCAGCGAGCGAAAATGAGACTACTGGTGTGCAACTGGTAAATCAACCGGTAATCATCTACTGGTTTCAACTGGTAAATCAACTGGTAATCATCTACTGGTTTTCAACTGATAAATCAACTGGTAATCATCTACTGGTTTTCAACTGGTAATCTATTGGTTTTCAACTGGTAAATCAACTGGTAATCATCTACTGGTTTTAAACTGGTAAATCAACTGGTAATCATCTACTGGTGTGCAAGTGGTAAATCAACTGGTAATCGTCTACTGATTTTAAACTGGTAAATCAACTGGTAATCATCTACTGGTGTGCAACTGGTAAATCAACTGGTAATCACCTCCTGGTTTTTAACTGGTAAAGCAACTGGTGATCATCTACTGGTTTTCAACTGGTAAATCAACTGGTAATCATCTACTGGTTTTAAACTGGTAAATCAACTGGTAATCATCTACTGGTTTTCAACTGGTAAATCAACTGGTAATATCAACTGGTCTCAGATGTCAACTGGTATTTCTACTGGTAATTTCCAAATGGTATCAACTGGTATTAACTGGTACCAGTTCGAGACCAGTTGAGATCAGTTCAAACCAGTAGAAGCCAGTTGGAAATCCTTACTGGTTTCAACTGGTATCAACTGGAATTTCGACCTAGGATAGTAACCACTATAGTACTCCCAAGAGAGTGGAGAAAATGTTCTATAATGTGCAGAATAGTACATGTAGTAAGTGAAAGCAGTGGCCAAAATATTAATATTTTCGGCGCTTCGGTCAGTTAGTGTTTATCTGCTCATAAAGATCACCTGGATCAGCCTTCGGGAATTTGACCAACAAGCTTTATGTAATGTTTTTTGTATTTTCCCCAATATGGATTATCTTACATTTGCACCACCCGACGACTTTCCGAGAGACGTTTTAAAGCCCCACTGCACTAGTTTTTCCAGGAGGGATTAGACCTTCCTGCATGGTCACTGACAGGTGGTTATCTCATCAAATCAGCTCTCAATTAACATTTTAAAAAG